TTTAATTACCACATGGTGAAAAACTGAACCTTAAAAAAATAAAATAAGATTGAGGTAAGAAATAAAGATGAAGTTCTCAGAGCTATTAACAGTATCAGGAGAGAGAGTGAAGAAAGCAGCTGGCTGATAATTATTATACCATCTTTAGGAGGAAGGAGAATTAAAACAAAAAAGAACTTGGCCATAAACAATGTAGCATTTCTCACCTACTCAATGACACAAGGGCCAAAGAACAAAAGGAAGCTTTGGCAAAGAAGATAGTGTCATGTGGAAGCCTGCAGTGTTTTCACTCCACTGGTGGGAGTTGGAAGCAGCATGACAGATTGTTTTGGATTAAACAAACTGATGCTAAACATATTTGGTGCTATACGTCTAATAGTGATGGTCACTCAGATCCAAAAATATCCTCATTTTATTGTTCTCTACAGAACATCTTACTTTCCCTTGCTTTAAAGCTGTCAGATTGCCAGTTCTTGTTGCATGCTAACAGGGTCCTAGGTAGGTCTGTCGTTAGTCAGAGATAGTTTAACCAAAACCACTGCCGCTCCCACAGACACATTTTATCAGCATAGTGGCTTAGTTCCAGCAATGTATAGTCACTGGAGAGTTACTGGAGAGCCTGGTAGCAGAATAAACTTCTATCTGTCACTGGAATATTATGTGCTGTGAAATTATGACAAGAGCATTAGATCTATATATTTTCTAATAGAGGTAACTGTTTGAAAGAGGATGTGCAGTGTAATCACTGTTAAATCTTTTTGTTTGTATATTCAAATTAGGGCAATTTTATAGAGCTTTGGATGTGTGCCTTAATAAATACTTTGATTTCACAATCCATTTCATGTGATTCTTGGCACACAGTATCTGATATTAAAAATCTATATCAGATTTTTAATAATCAGCTTTACATAATAACATGGGTTCATACTGGCATGATCTTTCCTTTGAACTGATCGGCAACACTTATTGTTAACAATTTGGATAGGAGCATTTCCAGCACTATTTCCTCTTCCTCAACAATATGCTTTTGGTTTTGTGAAATGAATTAATTGACATCTATAGTTGATCATTTGACTGCCATTTCTAAACACATGCATATATGCATATGCTTACTGCCTGTTTTGTAAGTCTGATAAAAACAAGGCACAGTGCCCCCTCAAAAGGCAGACAGTACTTCTTACTGTGGCCTCATTCATTTGAGTTATAATATTATGTGGATGTGAACAATAGCAGGGTTGCTCAACCCCCAGTCCATTGGCCAGATGCAGCCTCCAGAGCCATGTGATCTAGTCCAAGGGGGGCCAGAAGTTTGGTGGTGGGGGAGTAGTGGCAATTTCATAGATTTCATAGACATTATGGCTGGAAGGGACCTCACAAGATCATCAGGTCCAGGAAGTCTGCTGGGGTCAAATGATCCCAGCAAGATAAGCATCTGAACGTGCTTTAAAGGAGTCCAGAGTAGGTGCTTGCACCACTTCTGGGGGGAGTCTGTTCTAGACTTTGGGAACTTGGACGGTAAAGAAGATTTTCCTTATGTCCAGTCTAAAACGGTCTTCCCAGAGTTTGTGACTGTTGGACCTTGTCTTCCCTTGGGGTGCCCTGGTGAACAAACATTCTCGCAGTTCCTGGTGCACACCCCTATTTTTATAGGCTGCCACCAAATCCCCCCTGAGCCTTTGCTTTTCCAGGCTGAAGAGTCCCATGTCTCTCAGCCTTTCCTCATAAGACTTGTTCTCTTGTCCTTTGATCATGCATATGGCTCTTCTCTGGAATCTCTCAAGCTTCTCCATGTCCTTCCTAAAGTGCAGAAGCCAGAACTGGATGCAGTACTCCAACCGCAGCCTCACCAAGGCCGAGTACAACAGGAGGATGACTTCCTGGGTCTTGCTTGAGATGCATCAATAGATGCAAGCCAAGGTTTTGTTTGCTTTGCCAGCTGCAGCATTGCATTGGTGGCTCATGTTCATCTTGTGGTCAATCATGACCCCCAAATTCCTTTTGGTCGTGGTGCTAGCAAGTGTAGTGCTGCCAAGCCTATAGGTATGATGTGGATGTTTTTCCTGAGGTGGAGCACCTTGTATTTCTCAGTGTTGAATGCCTTCAGGTTTTGGTCCACCCACCTTGCAAGCCTGTCCAGGTTGACCTGAATCACCAGCCTATCCTCTAGTGTGACCACAATTCCCCATAGTTTGGTATCATCAATGAATTTAGCCAGTCCACTTATACCTGAGTCCAGATTGTTTATAAAGATGTTAAAAAGTACTGGTCCAAATACAGAGCCCTGGAGGGTGCCACTGCTCACAATGAACCATGTTGACACAATTCCATTGACTACCACTCTCTAGACCTAACCATGGAGCCAGTTCCTGAGCCATTGGACCATGAGTTTGTTGAGGCTGCAGTTCCCCAGTTTAACCATGAGGCCTTCATGGGAGACCAAGTCAAAGGCGTTTTTGAAGTCTAAGTAGATTATGTTAATTAACGCTACCTCCACTCCACCACTGCCAAATTCCCAAGCCCTGCAGGTTAGATGACAGGGCCTCATATATGGGATGTGGCAGGCATGTGTAGAGCTGGGGCTGGGGTGGCAGGCCCAATCTGGCATGCACAGGGTTGGGGTGGTGGGCCTGATCTGGAACATATGGGGCTGGGCCTGGGGCCAGGCTAGGGTGGTGGGCCTGCTCTGTTGCCTGTGTGCTCAATCTGGCTTGCACCAGATCCATGGACTGACTCCACACTACTCATTTGGTTGGTGGGGCAAAAAGGAGGGGTAACACCAAACTACAGGACTCCAAAGAGCCACAAAGTGTCTGTAGCATTCTGTAGTAACATAAAAATATTTCCATGAGACTGCATGAAGTAAAGCCTTGGTGACACTCTTGCTAATACACTTAACTGCATGGCTTTCTAATCATCATACTTTGTTCCCTTTTTCAACTGACACTTGATGGTTTGAGAATGTTTGGAAAATTGTTCCAAGTGGGCATCATTGTTCCCAGAGAAGAGAGTTGAGAAATCCACATGCATTAGATGTTGATACTTTACTTTGTCACATGGTTTTCTTCAGGATTGCTTAATTCAGCATCTTTTTTTTTTAAGCAAGTTCATTTGGCATGTAGTTCCTCAGGACAAACTTGACCCAGGTTCCCAAAGTGGAAGGCAAGGGGAATAGTTCAGCTATGTGGCCAGTCCTAATCTCACCATTTGTCCACATACAGAAGTGCCATCTCATGAGCCCACAAGTATCACTTCTGGGCTCCTGATTGAGATTATAAGGGTTCTTTGTTTTCTAAAGAAAGTGAGTATTTCTCCAAACTGAGTGGAACAAAATACATCGTAAAAACTCCATAGAGATGTAAAATGTGCAAATTACCTAACAGCTTTGGACATTTATCCCCACTTTATTTCAGTCTTCTTGGTGGGTTTGAAATCTCACAAGGGAAGTAATCTATCATGCAACTAAGCATGGTGCTGGAAATATTGCAACTCCTGGGACAATCTTTCACTCTCCTGCTCTAGCAAAGAAGCAGTTTAGTATCAGTAGGTGACACATAAGTATCTCACAACTTAACTCATTTTTGGGTAACAAATTTGGCACAAAGCTACCCTCTATGCTTTGGAGAATTTTTTCATTGTGTCTTCAGAGATAACAGTAATCAGAGGGGTTAATCAAACTGGAATCTTAATCTAAAAGCAGAGAAAAGTGAAGGGATACTGATCTTCAATTCCTTTCTATCTCAATAGGAATGTTCCCAAGAAATGACTGCAAGTCAGTGTTCTCCTCTCAATTCCTCCGCTACTTTGCTATATAACTTCTGGCAATTCATTTAACTTCACTGTACTTCAATGTTAGGAACAGACCTTGCATTTATCCTGGGACAAGTTGTGCGTATCTTTGTCCTGGAACAGAAAGGTGCCAGAATTGGCATGTCTACACATCACCCTTCCAATCAGGGTATAGTGAGCAGCTGAATTCTTTGCCACTTTTCTGCCATTAATTCAATAATCCAATCCCAGGACAGCTGTTCAGATGCACTGAATATCCCAGGACAAACCATTAGCACGTCTTATCTCATAAACTTTTTTAGAATTTGTCCCAGGACAATGGACATCTGAATGATTGCACTTCACAGTGTTTTTTCCTGAGATAAATGAGATGTCTGTTTGTAGCCCAATTTACCTTTCTATAATAGTAAACATAGAACTTCTGGCACTGATTTTGTGCATCTTAATAACTATAAAACAACTTTGGGATGATCAGATCAAAGGTATATTTCTTGTTGCTAAATTAGATCATTATTGAAAATAATAGCTGAGTATCCATGATATAGGAATTGTAATTCCTGGACCAGTGCTTCAGTTAGTTTGGTATCCTTTGTTCTTTTGATGGTTGAGGATGTAGAAACTGTATCCAGAGATCAAATGACCTTTTTTATATTATTCATTTATCCATCAGTTTTATTTGTGCAACCTTACTAGAAAGATGAGGACGGGTAAAATGTGACAAATAGCATAAGAGGAAAATAATAATAAGTAACCAAATTATTAATAACTGAAGCTTATAGTATTCTATCAAAACTCTTTCATAGCTTTTCTTCAAAGATGGCTAATAATTACTGACTCCTATAAACAGTAATCTCTTAACATAACATGCCTCTATCCACATTTCAGCATTTGAGAGGCTTTATTCATTATAGTTTCATTTGTACTCTTCGGCATAAATCTGTTTTATTTTATTGTATTTATTAAGGATCTGTCTTAATAGAAATAGATTTACTATGGTAAATATGAGACCATTGCAAAGAAATATACCCACCCACTTATTCCCCCCCACAAACTTCATGCATAATAATGTTGTGCACTCACAAATAGAGTAGTAACAGAAATGTGTACCACTGTTCTTTAGACTGAGATTGTGACAGCGTCTGTGCTATGTTCAGAAAACTAAAATTTTCCGAGGCCTATCATCCACCACTATATATTTTTTTTCTTCTTGTCAGGTATTATTAGCCGCCAGGAGGCTGAAGAGTTGCTAATGAACAAGTCTGAAGGAGCATTTCTGGTACGAGTCAGTGAGAAAATCTGGGGCTACGCCTTATCTTATCGCCAACAGAGTGGATTCAAGCACTTTCTGGTGGATGCTTCAGGGGATTTCTACAGCTTCCTGGGGGTAGATCCCAATCGGCATGCAACGCTCACAGATCTTATTGATTTTCACAAGGTATCGCTTGATATGTAAAGATCAATCCATGACCTCTGTAGACTAATAATTTAAAGGGGAAACATGTACTTTGGAATCAAACTGAAAAACAGAAAAAACAGTAAAAAGAGAAATCTACGTGTACCATAATACATGTCATCATAATGTCCATTTTTATATATACACTTTTAGAGTTTGTTCCACTAGTGAAGTGAATCAGAAGGATTTTTTTTCCTTCAAAATCTTCAGTATATATTTATGTCCCTTTCTAACCTGCTTCTTATGCTTTGCTGGACAAAAAAGGTGCACTAATAGGCACTGACAGAGCTAATGCTTGCTGAGCTTCTTTGGTCTGCAAAGTTGGACTGAAGATACTACAAGAAAGTGCTTTTAATAGTATTTCAGCATGTTAGATGTTGTTCCCAAAGATATCAAGTGCAGAAGCAGACCCAAATGGGAATGAAAAAGGCTGTAAAATAAGAAATAGTCCTGGTTCAATTTTAAATGTGAACTACTGGTCTTTCTTATTTTATCCTAAACCCCATTTGTAAAATAGTTTGTCATAGAAACTCTAGGTAGACATGAAGTAGCTTGCCTGAATGCTGTGCTTTCTGTTTTTCAGCCTGTAACCAAAAAACAGCTCCATTATAGTCAGGACACATATTATTCTCTTGTTTGTCTCTCCCTATGTCACCTCAATCAGTTATAATCCTGCTTTAATCTTTACTTCTCATCCATACTATTTTTCTCTTCCCTCTGTAACCTCCTTTACATTCCTCTTCCTATATTTTTTTCATCTTTGCTTCATAGTTGTTTTATTGATATTTTTCTCCATCTTTTCTGCAAATACGACTTTATTGCTTTTCTTTGATACAACATATAAATAGCTTTTTTCATTCCTCTACTTTCAGTATCCCTTGTCTTTCCTCTAAGCCTTTCCTGAGATGCAAGTATTGTGCTACATGCTGAGCACATCTACATGTGCCCCTACAGTGCTGTTGTAACTGCATTGTCATTTAGTACTTCCTGTAGGAAGTACTATATGATAGCGCAATAACAGCTGTTACTTCACCGTGCCAACGGGGGAATTATTTTTAGCCACTACATTGCCATAGCAACATGCTATCGCTAGGGAGTGCATCACTATGGCGACATAGCTGCAGCATCATGGTTTTTGCCTACTGACACTATGTTGCTTTAGCACGTTGCTGTGGCGACATAGCATCTTGTGTCAATGTGCCCACAAATATACACTTATACAATTACATGCTATTAATTTTCCTATTAAATCTTATGTTTTTATTATTCCTTATTTATATATTGAATAACCAGAGAGAATTGTTGTTACCTTGTGTTTGCATAAATCTGAAACATTTGTACCTAGCTCACTAGGTTTGCCTTTATTTCATGTTCAGGAGAATTTTGGCCTGTGTGTTGTAATTGCCACTATACAGTACATGACAGTCTCTGCCTCAAGGAGTTTATATTCCGAGTAAGAGAAAGAGAGAAGTCAGAGTGTAACACTATGCATAAGAACATTTGAATGCATAGTGAATAGCTGTGTAAACAATGACTTGTTTTGTTTTGGTTTTTGGTGGCCAAAAATACATATGTGGCTTATTTCAGCTGAATATGTTTCATGTGTCTCATAACAAACATTTTGTTTTATTTATCTCTGTACTGTTATACTGTCTCCCCTTTTACCTGAACATAATGCAAACATTATGTTCAACATTTCAAAGCAAAAATACTATTTCAAAATGGATGAGGATTAAAATGTGTCAAAAGAAAGAATTTGAATTTTCTGATTTTTTTCATTTTTTTGGTAAAACCTACATACCAGATATGAACTGAATCTGTGAATAATTTTGACTCCCAGAAACTGTATTTTTAAAAATAAATTTACCAATTTCCCCAGAATTTTACCTAGGGACAGGTACAGACTTTACAAAGAAACTGTATCTAAATCAAAGAAAACCAATCTAAATCCAGAACAGTACAGAAATGCAGTGCATATAGACTAGTTTAAAAATGTAGAACACAGTCTAAGCTAGACCTGGATGGATGTAGAATGAGAGTTAAGCAATTTAGGTTAGATCAGTTTATCAAACTTCTATACCAGATCCCCTAGCAACTCAAGTTAGGCCGGAGTCCCCTGGTATCCCAGGCTGCTTTGCAAGACCCGACTAACCTTCCCTCACAAGGTAGAGTACTAGTCTTACCTGCTCCAGCTGAACAGGTTCTCACAGAGCCAGCTGGTGGCAGGTTGTGGGGCTGGGGGCAGTGGTGGGGAGGGAGGGGGCTGGGTCCACCTGGCCCTGGTCCCAGTTTGAGCCAGCCCAGGTCGGGGGGCCCATGAGGCAGGGGCTCCCTGGCCCAGCTGGCCAGTGTGGCTCCTTTCTCCATCCCCACCCTTCTTGCTGGCTGTCAGCAGCAGTGGGGGAGGAAGGTGGGGAGCAGAGGCCCCTGCCATGTGGATCTGGCCCCTGGAGACTGGAGCCAGCACATTGGGAGGGGGGTGCTGAAGAGAGGTGGCCTCTTCTTCTCCCTACCCCCCCACTGCCACTGATAGCTAGCCACAGGTGGGTGTCCAGACCTAGGGCTGCACTGGCCAGCTGTGCCAGGCTGTGGGAAGGGGGAAGCACCGTCCACGCAGTACCCCACACCCAGCTGTGCTGGCTCAAGTTTTGGGGGCTGGGTCTGCACAGCAGGGGCTTCTGCTGTCCCCCTCTGCCGCTGCTGCTGGTGTTGACAGCTGGCTACTGGCAGGGGCGCATGGCTGTAGAGAGGAGTTGTGCTGGCAAGCTGAACCAGGCAGTGGAGGGAAAGCCCCTTTCAGGCAGGCTCCCCCAACTGTGCTAGCTCAGGTCTGCTGGGGCTGGGGCAGAAGCCTCCATTCCTCCCTGCCCCTTGCCACCACTGACAGCTGGTCACTGGTTGGGGGGAGGGGCTGGAGAGAGGGCCGTGGTGGCCCATCATGGGTGACCAGCTGCTTGGCTGGGCTTGGCAGCCCCATCTACCAAAGGCTGAATGTTTGTTCTGTTCACTCCTGACCTAACCTAGGGCACTTAGAGTAAAATGTGAAACTTAGACTGCTTCTACCTTGGGCTTTTTGACCATCTGTATTTAGCCTAGATGTAATTGATACAGATTCCTAGTCCCCCTAGGGAAGTGGTAAAAAGAGGGACTTAAAACTACATTAAGGAAGCAAAAACTGATTCAAATCATATAGAAAAATCTTGAACCAAGCTACATAAAATCATTATCCACTGGTACAAGATAAGTGTGGAAAGGTAGCAGAATGCGGCCTTTGCTGGGGGTAGACGTTGGGTAGGAGTTGAACATAAACACTTGAGTTTTCTTTTATAATATGAGAAAGTCTCCATCCAGACTACCTTTTTCAAACTCAGTACATCTCCTTGTAATGTCTCCTACAGAGCTGAGCAGCACCTAGATTGGTGTATTTGAGAGAGAGAGACTCAGGGTTAGGCCCTGTCAGAAGGAGAAGAGCTTAAAAGAGTCACACAGCAAATACTTGAAGAGTCCAGGTAGACATTGTGGGAGATCTCAGCACTAGCTGCAGCAGTTTTGTTTCCATATGGCAGCCAAGTGTGATAAAAAAATGCCTGTATATTTCTTGTTTCCTCCTTGCTCTTCATAGGCAGTAGCTACCTTAGAAAGCCTATCCACCTACAAAGAGCACTGCGGCACCTGTCAGAAGCAAAATGTCTTTTAGTAACATTTATAAGAAAAAATATTTCTGCTCCCCCCTGCCCCTGGATGATAAAGGCAATAGTTCTAGCTATGACAAGCTTATTAGAGAAGTTGCTTTTCCTCTAGGGTAACCACACAATTCTATTTTAATTACTTAGCTTAATAGCCATACACAAGGCTGGCCAATTTGCTGGTAAGAGTCAATTCAGTATTCTGTCCCTTGCCTGTCTCCTACATGGTTGTTTCTGAAGCTTTTCTGTCTGCCCTTTCCTCTGAAGTGTGTTGTCAAGCACTCCACAGCCTTTTAATAGTCAGCTACCCAATGCAAGAGGTTGTGAAGGCAGTGCAGTGGAAATTAACAGAATCTCTTCCAGATCCTGCCCTAGTTCTGTCTTAGCTGAAACTCCTTCAGGGAGTCTCCTGGTCTTTTGTCATGGTTAAGATAAACTGTAGGTGGATTCTGTTTATATTCAGAGCTTGAAGTTTACTGTAATTGCTAAGACTAGAACAAGTACTATAAGAATTCAGAGCCAGCCAAAGAAACTAAAGAGAAAATGGCACTAATAAGGGTTGTTTCTATTTCCGTATTCTATTCTGGTCTTGATTTGAAGACATTAGCTAATGATTATTAAACATGTGTGTAAGGGGGAGGGGGGTGCTTGTGGGTGAAGGGGATATTTAGACCATGGCAGGAAATTATCAAGCTCTGCATCCACAAAAATCCATATGATACCAGCCAGTCTAGTCTTCATATGTACTTTTAGACTCAGCAGCATTTGTTTTTGTGTCAATATATAGTGTCATATTATTGACTGCTTTTAATCAACTTGAACTACTAGACATTTGCTTCTACTTTCTTGTAATTTCCAAAGAGGTTTTCATATGATAAGGAAGGTTCCATATTTATTTGTATCCCAACACAGTGACCATGGATCAAAGTGAGGATTTGGAATGGACTTTTAAGGAATCAGCCACTCAAATTCCTATTGTTTTTCAATAGGAAGTAGGTCTCTTTTGCAAATCTCAGGCCCAAAACTTGGATCTAATTTGGGATGAGATGCACTGTGTTTATATCATCCTCACTTCGGACTAACTTTGGACTATCTCTGGCAAGTTCTTTTTCCCTGACTGTATGGAAGAGAAAGTACCAGCCCTATCCAAATAGAGATGAAAAAGAACTGGTCTTGCCTAGCCAACTCCAGAACCTGGATGGAAAAGGAGACGTTGCTAGGATCTCAGTGCATATTTTATCAGATACCCTTTTATGTTTCTACTAGGTTTGCAAATAATAATCTTATAATATAGACCCTGGGCTACAGCAATCTTTTTCTTTTCCCGCCCAGAGGATAGGTCCTTATTACAATTGAATGGGGGTGGGGGGTGTCTTCTTTTCAGTTAAGCGTTTATTTCTCTCTGAGATCAAGGGAAGTCTTGAATGCATGATCATTTAAACATCTTTTTTGTCTTTTCAGGAAGAAATCATCACATCCTCTGGTGGGGAACTACTACTGGAACCATGTGGACAGAGGAGGAACCCACCAGACTATAGTCCCTTATTTGAATGACTGCCTTCAGGACTTCAGTGAATACCTTATGCATAGTTAAAATAGTAAGACTCAAGCTGATAAATAGTATGCTAATGATCAAATTTTCAGTCACTAGTTTTGTGGACAACAAACTGCCACCATTAAACAGTCCGAGAAATTACTATTTAACCTGATTTGTAGAAATAATTTATATCACTAATATTTTAATTATAGATGAATACTGGTGGACTACAGTATCCCTAGATATGTTTTAGGAGTGGTGATCAACTAGCATTGACAGTTATGGTTACATTTTGCTTGTTCACTTCTATCCAGAATTTAAAATACAGTGTGACAAACAAGGACAACTATTGTATATATTCATAAAGTATTT